TCTGCTTTAAAAAATACAGTAAAGAAAATTCTAAAATGATTTATACAAGTAAATCACGGTAAATGTAATAACAGAACTTGAACAAAGAGACAAAGGTAGCCCATTACCCCTAACAGGTTTGGAAATTGGATAATATTTGGGACAATAGTGTTCATTAGCTCTTGCCAAACAAGGTATTAATTAGAGTAAACAATAACTACGTAAATTTTAGACTGCAAATGGTAACACATCCACATTGTAAAGTTATGCGATGCCTAGTATCAGAATCTGGAGGATCAATACACGTAACAGTATCCGAATGTAACTTGCGTTTATAAGTTTACCAGACGTTATTGTAATTGATTGTACCGGCGAATTATTAGTCAAAAATTCCGTATTTGTATTTCTTCTGATTGTTGAGTTAATATTGCACGATTTACAACGTTGAATGAGTAATACGTTATCCCTTGATGGATTGGAGTGCTTCATATCGAATATCGAATATTAATATTATTTGTTAAACCTATTCACATGTCACTAATACAAAATTGTATCTTATATTAATTGCACAAATAATCTCAAATTAGATTTATATATGGTACTGTTGTAACTCAGTTGTCTCAGTCCAGAACTCAGACATTTCAGTTGTCTCGGTCCAGAACTGAGACAAGTCCCGAACTGAGGTACAACAGTACCACCTTCTAAAGGGTAAGATGGTTCATCGCCCTGACTGTTTTGGTAATTGAAAATTTTATATTACACAGGCAAACTCGATAAGTCGGTCTCTCGATGATTCAATTTTGGCCTAAGAAGGCCAAAACTTCCCAAGCCCTTTTCTCAGTTTTAATATTTAAAATCTCTCGATAAGTCGGTTCTCTCGATAAGTCGGTTCTCTCGATAAGTCGGTCCATCATGCATGACCGACTTATCGAGTTTGCCTGTGTACCAAGGTAGGGACGATGAACTAGTGAGGGCTACCAAAGTAATTTGAAGATCTAAACTAAAAATTTGGCATGTAGACGGCCAAAATGATACTTTTATATAAAATTAAATTGAATGAAGATAAGCTGGAGAGCCTAATAAAACTAGGGAGTAAGCCAAAGATTGCAAAAGAATTATTTCAATAACATTATAACTGAAGAAATGCTAAAAGTTCTTCAAACTAACTAGCCTCTCACCTTGCTCTCAGGAGTATGAAATTTTTTTTTTTTTGAATTTGAGGGAGAAATTGCCGGTTTAAGTTGTCATTTAGATGCTATCAGTGTTTGTGAGGATTGATGTTTTACCTATAATTTAATTCTTTAAAAAAAGAGTTAGTGAATAAGTCAAACCCGTTATTAACAGAACAAGAAAGAATTGAAAAAGGAGATAAAGAGATTGTAGAGTTAAGAGAACAGAATGAGAGTTACTAATGAGTGCTCATAAAACAGTACTAATACAAATTAATTAAGTTGGCTAACAAGCCCTTACCAAAAACGCCAAGCAAATTCAGCACCGTAGTCGAAGTTAAAGCAAAACGAAAGATTGATATTAGAATTGGAAAAGTGAAACATTTGACTTATTGTTTTTGTTTTGGAAAGTCAGTTTTTCAAATTCGCAAAAAAATTACTACTGATGAAGCGTATGAGAAGTGTGCAAGGCTAAAAAACAGACACAGTAATGTTTGTCGTTATATTAAAGAAGAGCCCAGTTTACCTAGTAGTGAAAAGAATCGATTTTCTATGAACGGCACACAAGTTCTTTACGGGAAGAAAAAACCAACTAGCCAATACTCTTGAAAATTGGCGTAAAAAGTAAAAACAATAATTACTGGATCGAATAGAAAAGTTGAGGCTGAAGTGGAAATTGACTCCTCAAGAGTTAAAAAAAAATCAACACGACTATTACAACAACAAAATAGTCAATTAATTGCTCGGATTGAAGTTAAAGAGACCATAAGCTGGACCGTGATACTAAGAAATACAAATGTTGCTGACAAGACTAAGATTTATTCTTCCGACAATCTTCATGTAAAAGGTGCATTATCTATTACGGTAAATATAAACTACAATTGAAAAATAAAGATTTTGTTAAAGCACCAAATGGATTGATAGTAAATTCCTTTTGTTATGCAGTCGAGTTCTTTAGATAATTACAAGTCCACTCGATCAATTTGTTTTCGTTTATCTTACGGGTATGATTAAAATTAGCCTTGGTTGTACATGAGCCACAACTTGCGACTAAAGCAAAAGCCTTCATACAAATCAAGTAAACAACGAAAAACCGTAAATCTCTATTACAAACAATTAACAAGTTTCTTCTTATTGGTGCAGAGGAACAGCCAGCCAGCCAGCCCGACTGTCCTTCCTTGGTGAATGGGCTAAAATGAAATACACTATGAGAACCATCAAAAAAATCATTGATACGGATTTGACGTCTCCGCCGTACCTTAATGGTAATACTAAGACTAATGAAATCTATTTTTGTATCCCGACTCGCAGAGGACCGAAACCATGTTTACAAAGTGAAATGTGTGGGCAAAGTGGGTTTCGAGAATAGCTGTCTTCCCGATTAGGTTCGTGATACAAGTGACATTCGTTTGACCCTTTTCACTGCGGGGAAAGTATCGAACCAAGTTAATTAATAAATGCACCTTCCTTGAAAGGGAATAAGGGCCCATTGTGTTTAGAAATTGCGAATGGCTAAGAATTCATTATACATATGTATGTCGATTCCGATATACCCACATTCCTAAATAAAACGGTGTATGGGGCATATATTAATATATACCATTCACCCTTATTATACGATTATCTGTTAGAATTTGGAGAGGTCAAAACACAACCAAGCCCAGATACACGCACTGTATTACAAATTACGTTATTTCTTACATACATTTAATGGAAATAATACTGCCACAGCAGGCCTTTTTACCGGTTTTTAGAAATTAGATTCATTGCAGAAGGTTTTGACATTAAAATTGATGGAGAAACGTATGTCACAGTACATCCACAGTACACACTAATGCATTAGTACACACAGCACCCACAGTACACACTAATGCATTAGTACACACAGCACCCACACCCACACACCCACACACCCACACATAGCACACATAGCACACACAGCACACACAGCACACACCATAAACGAACACACATACATCCATACATCCATACATCCATACACCCATACACCCATACACCCATACACACCCATACACACCCATACACCCATACACACCACACATAGCAGACACCACAAACGAACACACACCCATCATACATCACACATCACACATCACATCACACATCACACACCATACACTCGCTCACACACAGACACACGTACTTGCGCCAAGGATGATACACAGGGACTTCTCCTTTATGGTCCCGATTGGCTGTCTTTTTCTCATTCTTTGAGTTGTCACACTATGCCTTTTTCGCAATCCCGTATAAATTAGACATTTGATAGATGAACACAATAGGAAGCAAGTAATTTCAAGTCGCACAATATTATTTATACAAAGAAAAGCAAATTGCAATATTAATATTAAATTACGCTTTTATTATTAGTATCACGCTTGCTAACCAATACCGTTACAAACAGTCCATCCTGCCCCTTCATTTATTATTGTTATCTATATTGTAATTGTCGCCATGGCAATGCAATGGAGTCTGATTAAACAATTTATTGCCTGTAAATTAAATTCGATGACGTATAACCGAACATCCATTCAGTTTCTATTCACAGCCTCATCAAAATATAAATGCCATTCCTCATCAAACATTAACATTTTTGTGTTTCAGATATCGTTGGAAGCAGTTTATAAGGGGGTAAGTATATGTTTGACTACCATTCCCTCATTCGACTGGCTCTATTCTTCCTCCACGACCCTCTTTTATACCCATCTTCCTGCACTTTCCTCCGCTCACACACTCGCCCCCTGTCTAACACATACTCTGTCCCTCTTTAACGTCTTGCCGCTGTGGCCTATTCCGTATTTGTATAAAAACACATTATACAATAACCATAGTATATTCATTCTACATACATATACAACCCCACAGCCCAACTGTCTTAAAAAGAAGAAACCCAGCTCTGAGGAAAGCATATATACCACGACCCACTGCCACGAAAGACATACAACTCGCTCAGGGGACGAAAAATACCTTCCACACTGTTCACCAATACCTGTCACACCACACGTTTTTACAACATACTCTCACAATACTACTATATATCCAGAGGCCTTTACATTTTACATACACACACACGCACACACACGTTCTTCCCTCTCTTTTCCCGACCTCTTTATTCTTTATAGGCTTCCACTTAATATAGAACTTTTAATCAACTAATATTCACCCTAGAACTAACTTTATCCGCGTAAATCTATATACGTAAATACATATATTATGTCTCATTCAGTTAACTCTAATAGCGTCTACACAGACGACCATACCAAGAATCATGAATATCACGACAACTGCACAGAAAGCCAACAGGCTTTGACTTCGTCATCGTCAACTGCTCACACACAGCGACCTACACATACCTACACGACATATACGTATCCATATACGAAGCCTAACCGAGTGCCAAAGAGACCTTTGGAGGGTAATTATCTATAATATATTCTTTTACGAAAAAAATAAATTATAGATATATAACGGGTATTTCATAGAGAATAAACCTGCATGCATTCGCAGAGAGGCATTTTGGGGAGGGAGGATATAGAAGTGGTATTTATCAGGTAGTCAAATTTCGACGTAATTATGAGATAACGATGAGACAAAGATTTATGATCACGCGATGAGGAATTGATTGGTTGTTGTTTGAAAGTTTCTTGGTGAGAGAGGGACTATTGTCAATATTAGCGCGCGAAAGTATCCAGACCTTTGATCCCAAAAGTTATGCTTCCCCTCCCCCCAAACAATCTACTTTTACAAGCAACTTAATAACAATAATTTTTTGTTTCACTTAATCCCCAAGCAGTTCAATCCGACTCTCTAAACATCGACTCGATAATTAGCCGCATGGACTCGCTCTACAACACACAATTCTATTCCTGGATTAAAAATCCCCAGAACCGCGAATACGCAGCACTCAGAGTTAGCCCATTAATTCAAGAATACAACAGCCTTTCTCACACAGCACATGTTCTCCGATGGATTGCATCAGACTGGAAACCCAATGAAGCTAAAGATTTATTTCGTCTAGTCACTGACAAGTGGGACGATGGCAAGCGAAGGCTGCTAATGTTTTATCTTGTGAGGGCACAAAGGGAAGAGGAAGGATTGTATTTGAAAAAGAGACGGAGAACAGGCAAAAGTGGCGAGAAAGAGGGAGACGGCAGAGAGCATTCAAGGTATCAATGGGACGCGAGTCAAGTATGCGATGAAGTAGAAATCGGCGGGCATCGAACTTTGAGTGGTGCCATTAGCGTACCCAACACGCCCACAGTAAATATAAGTATGAGTCATAATAATAATAATGAACGTAGACACGGAGCTGTTAGTTCCACGAGGAATGATATAGATTCTGCCAGTGTTCGGAATGATCGCTCACGGCCGGTGGTCAGATCGGCAACATGGGACTCTACTTCTTTCACACCATCGTTAACAACGTATTCGCATTCCTCTCGCGGATACTCTAATTTACAACTGCCTCATCCCCAGTCTCATCCTCATTCTCTCCCATCAAACTATGGTTCTTCAACATCATCTGCTACACTTCCCCCTTTGAATCTTTCAGCGTCTTCTGCTACCACGCACAACACAAATCTTCAGCCACTTCAGCCGCCTCTCCAACCTACACATCATTCTTATAGCCTTCCCTATCTCACTCATGTTCATCCGTGTCAGTCCCACGATGCAGTCTTTCTTCGTCCTATCATAAATTCTGAACCTACTCGCATGGCGTATCCATACTCACATGGTGACAGAACTGGAGTAGTGAGGAACGGGATTGTATATCAAGCATATCCGGGATATGTTAACAGTTATAATCAAATCCAACACGAGAGAATAGGAGAGGAAAGTATGAAAGCAATGGGAGAGGAGAGGCGAAGGCGTCGGAGGAGAAACAGTGATGTTGATGGTCCTGATATTATGAGTGAGTGAGCGAGTGAATATGAGAAAAAGTTTTCGGACAGCTTATTGAAGGAAACTTGGGAAGGGCTTCTTTTTTTTTTTTTTTTTTACAAATAGCAGTTACAAAGATGATATGTACATGAACGTAGATGTGTGAATAATAGATCAGCTACAGTTGATTGGATCGTATCTGATTTATGATACCTGGATGAGTTGTTTATTTAAAGCTTGTTGTGGGGACTGTGCTGTTCGGGTGAACATTACTTCGATCCATATTGAGATGATTTACGAGAATAGGCGTCTGTTTTGTTAGGCCTTTCTTCTTGTTATTATAATTTGTTTTATTCAGCTCTTGATCGATCAACAACAACATTAAAGTTGATTGGTATGCACCATTCCAAAAAGTTTGCAGTTGTGCAGTTTGTGCAGTTGATATCATCATGTCATGTTTACTCTTGCCGTCACGTTGTTGGTTTTTGGCAGCTGAAATACATACAGACTCCTTGAATTTCTCCTAGTTGACATTCCGATCCCACACTTCAAACCAAAAGCGGGAAAGACGACGATCAAACAGTCGATCCGGTCTACATATTTGGTCATCAACCCAAATGAGATTAGTTTGACCCCTTAGCTAGAACATTGAGTAAAGCAAGGGACACATTAGATGCAGGAGGTGTCATGGGCTATATCACGCTTTGCAAATATTGTTACTATTAAAGTAAAATAACTATTTATAGGAGGTTGCATGTGTGTTTAGATAGGCGCTCTATTATGTGATAATATATGGTGCAAGGCACTACCATACGAAATAAACAAATAGAGAACCCGTGATTAGAAAATTCCGATTTATTAGACAAAGCCAAGGCGAGCCAAGTATGGCAATTAATGGCAGGTGGAGGGAACGCCGCAGTGATAAATAGGACTGTTGCTATTTATAACTTTTGGTTGACTATCAAACACATGACCCTTTGGTTCCTTATTCCCCCACCCCGCAAGAAATCAATTTTTCCTTCTTTTCTTTTTCTTTCTTTTTTTTTTATTTCGGAACATCAAATTTTAGTAACCAGTCTGTTATTGGTCAAAGTATAAAAGCGTCGGTATAATAAGCTGTTTATTTGAACACGAACAAGGTTTTTTTTTTCCTACCCCCCATTGCTGTAATTGGATATTTGGTTGTAGGCTAATCCGTCACATCTAACATCTAATTTTAATTATAGTAATACGCAAAGTTACACGATAAACCTTTTTTATACCCATTTTTAGGGAAATACTGATGATAATTTCCGAGGTTTCACTGTGTGCCCAATATAAGTTCTCGTTTCATGCCTTGTATTACGTACTGACGATAAATTTGAAAACAATATTACAACAAACTTTGCACGTATGAGAGAGAAGGGCTGAAATGTATAAATAACATTTGTAAAAAGAATGACAAAGACCAAGTAAACAAAAGATGCGATTTTAATTTCACGAAACCGCAAGTGTCTGTTTGTTGGCGCTGCTTATTCTGTTCTATTTTTACATGTCTTGTCAATCATGTTGTTTTGTCAGCTTTGAAATATGAAATATTATATACCCAATAACCTACAAGACAGGAGGTTTCTGCTTCTCAAAATTAGACTAATACGTTGTCTAGATATATTTCCTAGTTTATTGTGTTACACACATTACACACATACATCCCCAGAGAGGTTTCGGCCGATGGGAGAATCATTCGATTAATTTAATAGTAACATCGTCGTAAATGTTGCGAGTCTAAACCCTTTTTACAAGCAAACATCATATTACCGGACACCTGGAAGAGATCCTTGAAGGGAATGAAGATCAGTTTATTGTCGCACTGTACATATGACACTTGGTTCTTACAGATGTTCAAACATATTGTGGCTTAGTATCAAGGCTAAAAAAGGGCAAAGGGTAACAAGGATTAATAAATGAAACAGTATTTCCAAGACAAACAATAAACTCTTTTTTAATTCAAAGCAAGTGACACTGCACTGTTAAAAAGGGGATTGTTTCGACTGTAAGTTTACTGCGTCAATGTCAAGCCCCACAGAACGTATACATTGACTTGCATTGACATGTAAGGCTTTATTGTTGTTCCGATATCTGTTCGGTTATCGTTATCTAATCAATCCAGTTAAACGAACATGTTAGATAACGTTGTTATTATTTTTAATCTCGTTACTAACTGATGATGGACTACTTACTGTATCAAGTTTCTTTATTTATAATATCACATTCCATGACCAGTCAAATTATTGCTAATCAAACATCGATTGCCTGCTCCTTTTGAATTTGAAATTGCTGCATCTCGAGATCATAAATACATTATACTAACCAAATAAATTATCTAACAATGCACCGGTTGTAATGTTCCGAGAACAATATCAAAGATCGTTATCTACTGTAGCGAGCATTTGTTAAAGGAAAAAAAAAAGGAAAAAAAAAAAAAAAAGAGCTTGCCTGCCTGGCTCGCCAATAGTGGAATTTTAACGTAATACAATATTGATTCATGTGAAGATGAACGGCATTCTGGCTTTAAAAAAACGTGACCTATGTAAAAAGGCGTATCTGCCGATCTATCAATATAGAACTCCTGATGTATCAAAAATGAAACCCTTTACGCCTTAATTGAACCACATGATGTTATCATATCATATCGGGTTTGCAAAATCTCTGATTGGTTTGTGAAATGTCAAATTTTAACTCGAAATCTCTGACACTATCACTATGTAGGATACGGCAATCATTTACAGCATTATACGCCAGTATAGTATTAGATTGTTTTTGTGGTGGAGGGCGGGGGTGGGGTCTCAAAACTTATTGACAGCCCATCACATTTACGCCTAGGCGGCATAATAATAATAATGATTGTCTGATAGTGAAAAGTCAACCAATCAGGCTTTAACGTAATTATCTCATTCCCACGTACAGCCAATGCCATGGAAATAGCATTTGAAGGCGTATGCCGCAAACAGGATTTGTAAGAGGATTAGGTAATAATAAAGATAAGATCCGCTACGTCACCCAACAGGTTCGCATAGCCCGTGGCGCTGTTGTTATTGTTCCTTTTTTCTCCCCCCCCCCCCCCCCCCTTTCAACACCAGCCCATCTCATTTTTAAAAGAATTAGTGCATTCGCCATACTGCTTATAATGAATATTTGAATATCCGTAATGTAATAATCAGTTACAACAATGAAAGGTAAATCTCCAAGTTTCCATTGAAAAAAAATATATACTAATCCGTTACAGGGTTAACGTTCGAGAAAAAGCATGTGTAATGCGAGAAAAACACCCAATTAACTGCTTTTCTAATAGACCGTTAGTCTTGTTGTTGCGCCATTGCACTTTGACATGCAAACCATTAATAGACTAGCCATAAACTATATTAATATGAGTAGATGCTACGATAAGTGTATGTGCTGCATGAAGACTGTGTGATTGGAGATATAACAACGTGAATGTTAATGCATTCTCTATTGGAATAACAAAATACAGTAGTTTATGACAATGCGTTTCTTGGAATAATTCCGAGAGAAAATTTTATCAAAAACTTTCCCTAGACACGAACAAAATGTTGCTTCGAAAAAAATATATAATTAATGCCATAATTGCAAGATTGTTTGGTGAGAACGACTACTCGTGCAACTTCCAGTCATGTGACTTACACGCTACAATTATATATTTACTTAGTGGCATCAGGTGATATAAAGCGCATTTTTGTTGGCGATCATGCCTACAATACATAATAATAATATGATCGACTGGAGCCGTTATAGGCAAGTTAGTTGGTGATAGCGGAAAAGTATGTTCTCACCAGTACCTCCCCTACCATATCTAGTAGTAGGTATTTTGCAAAATTTGGCAATCTCCCCGAGTGCTAAACTATCTCCCCTATCAAATTTAGTAATCCAAAATGCTGGTAGGAGAAATACGCGCATATTATGCTCATAACCAAATTGTGTCACAAATTGGGAATATCTAACTAAACATTTCTTATCGAGAAAACAACTAGATAGACTCTCGGACTACCAAACATTATTTGGTATGAACGGAGCCGTCTTGGCATATACGGTTGGCACACTTGTGTATGGCGATTTTATTTCCGTTGTTGGATGCCGTTAAACTTGCATCGTTACGGGCTATGCAACAATATTATGAAAAGAATGGCTTGAGTGGATTGATGATTCATCACTTGCGTAATACCGTGGAATAACCTAAGGTTTTAGTTCTTACAGGAGTTTCAGAGATATCCTTCAATCGGAAGATTCGAGCAGGTGTGGGATCTGCTTTTATCGCATCTCCAGGATTCTAGTCATGAAGTGGCTATCAGCTCCATCAAGGCCTTATTGGCCAACCGCATGGGGCCATTTGGAAAAGAACTAGGTATGAAAACAATGTCGGGAAGCGGCTGGTGCTGAAATGCTTCGAACCGAGCTCGAATGTTGCTTATTTTATTCGGGAACGATTAGCATCGAACTTATTACCAATTTCATAAAACATTAGTCTCAATATTTACTTTTTAATAAATAATGTCTTACATAGTCAAATGATATACCCCGGCAAAGGCAGTTAACAGTAAACGTGCACGATTATCATACGTGGAAGCATATCGTATTTAATTTATTTAATTAAAACCGTTGAGTAAAACCCGTATAAACTGTAAATAAACCGCGAATCACAAGTTTATCCAAAGTGCGTTTGAGTTACTAAATCATAAACAGTGGACGATGTTAATATTGTAAATTGACTTCATCCATAACCAATTGTTGTCTTCATACCTGCAGCTGAATCCAAATTGTAGCTATTTGTCGGTTTAGGCAAATCTCCAGTAGGTAAAAGCCTACTAGAATATTTACTCTCCTTCTCGAGACGTGA